CCCACTCCTGGGAGCCATGAGTTTTTCCTTAGTTGCTCACTTTTGAAACATCATGTCTCCCATCTTATTTCCTCCTTCAACATTCTCAGAGGATAATGGGCAATAGGGGATAACAACTATTCCCACTTAGACCCTGCTTCCCTCAGCACCACCAGTTTCTTCCTTCCAGCTTATAAGGGAAGAACATGAGAAGTCTTATTAAAAGACATGAGAATTTTGAAAGCTGTAATTATTCTATTTCAAAAAAAAAGCTACTTTTGCTGATTTTCTGGGCAAAGCAACATTGAAAAGAATAGTGAGAAGTCTTGTAGCAACTCCTGCAGCCTCCCTCTGTTTCAGTCAGCTAGCAAAGAGGCTTGTTATCTCTTCTTTGACAAGATCATACTGTACAGATACAATTTTTCAGTACTGGAAAACAACGTCCAGACAACTGAGCCTCAAACCTGAAAAAATTTGAACAATTTAGACTACTATTAGGAACTCAAGTAAATGACCAACACAAAACAAAATTGCTTTTCTCATCAAACCCCTGCCAGATGTACATCCTGTTAGGTAAGCCTGCCCTAGGGGCAAAGCCCTATCTGGCTAATCTTGCAGAATCAGATAAAATAATAGAAAAGTTAGGCATGGTCTGTCCTTTGGGACAACAGCATTGCTGTGACAATTTCCATTGGTCACACTTGAAGAAATATAGCTAAATCTGTGGGGGTTACACATGTGCCAGGTAGAGTATGATTGTATTACTCATGATTAAAATAATCCATCCTGATAATCAGTGTAAGGACTGAGTTTAGACTGCTGGTGGTCAAAAAGCTTCTATGCACCTAGTTTTTAGCCAATGAAGACTGTCCTTACAAATTTTATAAGATAAGAGCAGTTCACTTCTCTTCACATATCTAGGTTGGATTAGTCTTCAGTTTTAAAGAAATGTGCAAATTCTTGGCAAAATCAATTCTTAATTTCTTATCTCAAGTTGTATTGCCGCCTAAGTGAGAAGGAAAGCAAAAGAAAAGGCTCCAAAAATTTGCACTAGAAAGAAACAACTTTTCCTTTAGGTGATGGGTTGAAATCCAGCCTGAATCAGCACTTAGAATAACATAAAACTTTGGGTTGATATTGAGTCGCATGGGTGCAAAAGCAGTGGGAGCTTTTTCTCTGCTGCTTCTCTCATCAGCAAAATGAAAGCCAGGACCTGACTCAAGGACAAAGAGAAAGCTTCAGGCAGAACAGTTTTCCTGCCTGCTGCCTCCTTGGCTGTAGATGGGCGATTATAGGTGGGCTCTCCCAGCTGTACAGTGCTGATCACACACCTCTCACATGCACATGCAGCAGGGGTTTGTGTCTGACCGAGCACATAAAAAACTTTTGGGGCTGATTCTTCACATCCTGTAGGTCAGCCCCAAAGGTAAAAAGACAAGGGGAAATTGACCACTACAGACTAGGCAAAGCAGCTGAGTGAAAGTGGAGAATTTTTCCAGAAGGAATTACCTTCCCAAAGCATTCCTAAATCACTTCTGGAAGCTCTGGGATGGCTGCATTTTCCCTCCTCTGCCCTATCCTGGGCTTCTTCACTAGCTATAATTGAATCATGTGATGTTTTTCCAACAGTATAAAACTAGCATTTAAAAAAAGTAATAAAGCAAAATGAAGTCTCTTTTCTCTAATAGCATTAAAGATTTGTTTCCAGGCAGACCGCAGGTGTCAAGCACCAGCAGATTTAAAAAAAGAACTTGTAATATCTTCATGCACCACGTCTTCCAGGGAACGAAGTCTTCCCTTCAGATGACAGCAATACCACTCCAGTGTCACATGCTTCTTTCTGCTTGATCAAATCTGGTGACATTTACAGAACCAAACAGAAATACCTGAGCAGCTCAAGGAAAGACACATCCTTTATGTTAGTAGAAGCCAATTACAAACCCTGGGAACTGCTGTCTGCAAAAACATAACAGACTACCAAAACATGCAATAAGAGAAATAGTCTTGCCCATGACAGCACATCACCTGAATGTTCCTCGAGGCAAGAGCAACAGGAGAATAACACAACATCAATGAGGATTCAAGACATCAGCATAAGATGTAGATAACCAAACGGAAACACAGAAAAGGATGCACAATGGCTGAAAGTTTTCCCTTTGACTTCTCTGATTCTCTTCATTTTCTTTGTACATTTGTGGAGAAGCAAGACAAGGCCCACAAAAAAGGAAAAGGCTACATCAGTATGAATTGATGAGCATGAGCTGCCCTATTAGGAGAATAAGGATATTTTTCTATTTTTGCCAGGCCTGTTTTGACCTTTACAAATATTATCTTCCTGGAATTCTTCATATAATAAGCGAATTGTCACCTGTCAGAAGTGTCAGTTGATAGGACAAAGTTACTCTCTGACCAAAGACTGTTAAGAAAGTGATTTTCCCTTCACAGACAGGAGATTGTTAGGCTTTTATTCAGTACTTCACAAATGAGCCCTGCTACTCTCTGGGGTTTGTTTAACTATCAGAAAATGTAGCCCTACACATGTGCATACAAAATCATATAATTTCCATATTTAGCCTATTTGGAAATTTTCTATTACAGAAAATAATAAGAAGCACAGTAAGTTCACAGCTACTTGTCTTGGTTATGTGCACATGTCAAAACTTCTCCATTTTTTCTAGTGTCATTTGGAAAAGAACTGCAGACCCTTGCTCTCACCTGGGTTTTTAGAACTTGGCAGGTATCTCAATGCTCTCTCTGGGCTCCAGCTCAGTGTCTCTGCTGGCAGTGTGCAATCACTCCGTGCAGCTGTTTTTTCCCCACTGTTTGTCAGTACATGTGCTCTGGGCTTCCTGCTGCCATCTGGCAATCAGTGTGAGATCACAGCTCCTGCTCCCATGAGGAAGGAACCACAAGACAAGGTCACAGATGAAACAATATCAGAATACACAAAACTTTGTGTAGCTGCACCTCATGTTGTGCTGGCATTCTGTGACTCAGTTTTTACCTTTTTGTACCTATTCAATCAATGATTTTGCTACAGTAGATAAGCATAAAATTATTTTTTCACAGTTGTTTACCAACACCACAAAACCATATAGCTCAGGAAGTCTTGTAGTCCCTAACACAAGTCAGCTCATTTGTATTTAACCTTTGTCAGTTGATTTCATCTAACATCAAAACATAATTGCATAGAATATTTTCCTTTATTCAGAAATAATATTGCTGGTGTCTTCCTGTTGCTTCTTCAGAGTCTAACAAGTACATTTCTGTTCTGGTTTCTTCAAGTACCTGGAGTACATTACAACTCTTTTTGCATTTCCACTACAACCCATTTCTTATATACCTCACACATATTGCACAGAATTACAAGATCACTGACTTTGGATGGGATTCCTGGACATTGTTCTGCACAGATAGATAGGGACAATATAGGAATAATAACAAAACTGGCAAACTGATGTACAAAGGAGAGATTTTGGTACACTTAACTTGTAGCAATATGGCATAATCACTAGGGTGAAGGGACAACTCAGTGTCACTTAGGCTGTCTGGACCTGATGAGCTCAAGAGGCAATCAAACCAAAAGGCTGAGCAGAGCATTTTAAGTTGTTGAAGACAAATGTGTACAAAAATGTATTTTAGAAACTAAACTTCTCACCCAGCCTTTCCTGTACTGTATCTTCAATTATCTTTAATCAAATATAGAAAAACAAAAACCCAATAGCAAAAAAAATTAAGTTATTTCTCATTGGTTCCAGATAGCTATTTTCTTGCTTTAAATGTGAGAGTAATAACCCAATATACTCATGCAATTGCTACAGAATGGGAGAAAACAGTGAAGTCTTACTTTGTCATGTGCAGTACATTCAGAATTTCTCACAATATACAGTACTCTTGCCTAAGAAAAAATTTTCTAATAGTGATTTTCAATGAAACTCTGTACAAATTATTTCTTAAATAAAATTAATCTGTCAACTTTTTATCTAGAGTAATGGAAAATTCAGATGAGAAACCTAAACCTTTTTAAATATATTGAGCATCTTCTCCCCTAAATGTAGAGTAGTCATGGAAGCTATTACTATATTCCATGGCTGAAATACTTTCTTGGTTGAATGGAGTTTTCTTAATAGTTTGTGGTTTCAGTTTCTAGTTCACTGTTTTTCCAGGGATATCAGACTCTTCATCAAATAAACATGTGCAGTTCAAACACACTTTAGAAGACATCTCTCCTTGTACTCTCTATTAATGCTTACTTATAAAAAACTATATTTATATGTCAATTCTCAGAAATTTTGTGAAAGCACATATTTACTCTCAGAGTTAAAAACATCTCTATTTTTTTTAAAGGACTGACTCAAAAGTAACTCAGTCAAGTTACACATAAGATACAAACCTGAGTAGCCCCTTTGAATGGTGAAGACATTCAGAGTCTTGATTATGGTACTGATTTCTTCACTAGAAATTGCATATGTCAAAACTGGAAAGAAACCAGCCAGCATCTGGACTTGTTTCCCTGAATTACCCACAGTACTGAGTCTACTCTTTCTGTGCACATTTAATTCTGGTATTGCAACATTATTATCCACACAGACACATCACTGGTATGATAAGAGCTATGATTAAAAACAGAAATCTGAAAAAAGGAGAGGGAGAATTTTTTTGCCAGCTAATGTTATTATATGTTTTCATCACTACCATAGAATTTGTCCTACATATCATACAAGATGATGAAGCCAGAACACCTTGCAGCCAAGACCTGGCAATAGGAATTTACACAAGCCTTCAAGAGTAATGAGGGTCAATTTACTTTATATTTCCATGGGAAAATAACCAAGATTCATCACATATTTTTTTATCACATTTAACATATTTTACAGCAAGACAGAATCTTTGTAAATATATTTCCCTCTTTGCAGTATTCTGCTAAATTTAACTTTGACCTTAATCAAACCTGAGGCTGGAGCTGAAGAAAAGGCACAGCATTTTATCACACATGATCAAGTGTGTGCACAATTGTGTTTGGTGCTTAGCCACTAGGGACAGATGTCAGGAGTATCTTAACATGACTTTCATCACTGTGCTGAAGCAGGTAGAAGGATTCTCTTGGTGGGAAGGGCAGTTATGAAAACTAGGTCAAAGGAGGAAAGAGAAATAAGAGAGGAAAAAACAGAAAATAAACATGTTTAAAAACTGACAGTGTTGAGCCCTGTAGAAACATTAAGCAGCAAATGCACAGAAAAACCCCTTTTAGGTACCAGTTTTATTTTCTCTTGGGCTAAAATGTAACAGTCCTCACATGCATAAAGCTGTCTGAAATTATTTTCACCTCAAAGGATGCTGACAGCTCAGATAAGGTACATTTTGAGGTCCCCTATAGGGCTCACAATCTTATCTTTCATTGAAAACCAGAATTTGCCACAACAGCACTGTACCTAAGTTGCTAGTACTCAGATAACCTATTTAGATAATAAGTAGCATTCAACAATCACTTTTATGGAAAAAAAAACCTTAAGATTTAGCGTACCCAAAGTAGATTTACTTTTTTTTTTTTTTTTTTTTTGTATCCCACCACAGGCTGTTTTCTACCTATCATTACTCCAGATATATTTTATGTTCCTCTTGAGAAACCACTTGTTGGAACAAAGAGATTATGCAAAAGTTTATTTACATGCCCTAGAAGAATATAAAGGAAGTCTTGCCACTGTAATCACTGAAGAAACCTTGAGAGCTTTTAATACAATCCTCCTCAGATGACTTAAACAATTTCCCTCTCCCCTGATTTTTTTTTTTTTCTTTTTTTATGGTCATGCAGTTTGGTAGTCTTGATTCACTAAGCTTTTTCAGTGAGACTTTTTTTTTCAGATTTGGCAGTTCTCCTAGCAGGTCACCATAATATAAAAGAAGAAGAGAAAAGTACCTGCCTGACCATCCAGTCTTCACCTGGACTCACAGAGATGTCTTTGCTATAGATGCAGAAATGTGGGCTCTTCCCTCCCTGTATGTTCAGTATAAACACAGGGAAAACTAAAATGAAAACAATTCTACTTTAGTATATGTAATATAATGAGTGCCCAAATATAGCATATATGGACTGTCTTCTAACAGCTTTGTGTTATTATTGTATTTTTATGTTTTGCCTACATGAATAGGCGGTTACTCAACAAATAGAAAATAAAGCCTTGTGTTAGGGAATTTAATTCCCAAAAAAGCACAGAACATGTGAGTCCCCATTTAATTTCAGAATACAAAACAATTAGCTAATCCAAAGAACAAATCTAGGGAAGAGGGCAATGTAAATCTTAATTTTCATTATTTTTAGAAAAAAATAGAAGAAATTAATATCAAATACACAATAGCAACTACATTATGCCAGATTCTGCTGAAAAAAAATATAAGATGGAGTTAGTCATATTCACTGGCAACACTTTAAAAAAAAAAAACAAGCAAGAAGTTACATCTTCAAATGTGTTTTTTCTGCACAGTGAAAAAATAACCATCAATCTCCTTCAGATATTTTCTGTGATGGTGCTGGCTTGCTACACTCGTATATTTTATGCAATAGTTGAGGAATAAAAAAGCCAAACCAGAATGCACTCACACCCACACCCCAAAAATCCCCCAAACCCAACCAAAGAAGAAATCCCCAAACCTGACTATATTTTTAAAAATTTGTATCATTTTTGAATAAATTTATCTCTAAACCAGAGATATTTCTGAATTAGTTACCTTCTGTGAACAAGAAACACACCTGTTAACTTCATGCATGCAAGTGTACATGAAGGACCAAGAGCCATTCACTGTGGATCCCAACACCAATTAAAATTTGCTGCAGCTACCAAACTACAGATGTAAGCATTAATTTGATCTGCTCACTGATATGAAACCCATTTTTACTTAACCGTGAGCATAGAGATATTGATTCGATGTTCAAGAGTTATGCTTTCACTGTGAAATCTGAAGTCATAGCTGTCTGGCTGGAACAAATTAAGATGTTAAATAGCTTCAGCAGTTCTATGTCTAGACAAACGAAAGAACAGGCTATTACGAGGTGGAAATGGTATCCAAATTTTAATTCTTATGTTAGAGTAATTTTATAATATACATTGTCACACCTAAGTCTCCCAAGCTCCCAAATCTTCCTTATAATAAAACTCATTAAAATAATCTCCAAAAAGAGTTAAATATAAAGTATTCAGTGGTAATAACTGTCTTTGCTTTAGTTGTATGACTGGGAGATAAACATTAACATTAGCTCTTAATCCAAGAAATTAACAACCAGAAATTAGGGAAAAAATATAAGGGCCAAAAAGCAAAATATTCTGTTTGGTTTAACATAACAAAAAGTGAATTATCTACCATGCCTCTTTAAAAATTAGATTTAGAATATGTGAAAATTAATTGTTTGTTATTCACTGATTTTATTCTGATCAGAAGTGTGGGATGTGTGGGAGGAGAAATTAAAACTAGAACAAGTTTCTGTGAACACAATGGAAACAGAACTAGGAAAGAGAGCCTTGACACCACTAGTGGATCCAGACAACCTAAAAAATGAGCAGGCCATATGTTATCATCATATAAGTTGTCAAATGAGAAGGCAGGCAGAAGCAACACTGATTTCCTTTTGTGCAACACATAAATGGCCATTTCTTGACAGCAATGCCTGCCAGCTGGCTTAGGTGGACAGCAGACTGAAGGTTGTGTGGACACAGAAGCTAGACATGATTTTTATGTGGGGATTGTGTTACTCTGTGATTTTTTTTTTTTTTTTTTATTCAGAAGAAACAATCACATACCGGTTTTAAACCTTAAAAATTCATACCTTCAGGCCAGTACTGAGTGGGCTTAAGCAGCTACAAAAAGTGGTGTGTGGTCATCAGAATCAGGAGACCAGGAAAATAATTTCACTAGCCTTTCCATGTCTTTTTCTAAAAGAACAAAACTGATAGCTGAGTCATATGTTAATATACTCCTACACTGATGGCACATAAAGGAGCATGGTCTGGATAAAAAAATGTACATAGATTATAATTCTCCTAGGACCCTGAAGAAAATTCCTTTTATGGCCCCTTAAAGCCATGGGAAATATTTCTTCTACTGGGTAATTTCCAAGATTTTCAGCCTTTTATTCCTCAGCTTCTGGATTGTGTTGCGATGAAGTATCATGACCAAAAGATTCCAATCCAATGTTATTTCAGGACAGATCCCCTCACTGGTGATTTTACTGGTAACAAGTTTCTGTCTTCACTTTAAAACAAAACAGAATCTCAGAGTAGCACATACAGAGGTTTTTAACTCAGTAACATTCACAATTAGGCAACCCTCTCCCTCTTTTCAAGAGAGGAGGAAATGATGAAATATTAACATGTTCTGTTGCAGCTGTGCCTTTAGAAGTCAGTGTCTATCCCACAATCTGCCCAAGCAAACAAAATAATAGAAAACATTTTAAAAATATGGTAGTCACAGTAATTATGGAAGATAAATGTTTGCATCTAAGCAGGAGTGTCAAGATATTTACCTTTCTGATTGCCAGCAGCAAAGTAATCTTTAATTGATCTCTTAAATTAATTTTCTTGTAAATATAATTTTCCTCCTGAATGATCAAAAAAAATGACACTGTAGTTTCTCATCCCAACAAAATCAAAGCCAGTAAAACATGTAAACACACCATTTCTTAGGTAGTATTACCATTCGATTTTCACAAACATTCCTTTAGGTCACAATTAATTATTAAAATCTTTCTCAAACCCAATTCTATTAAAATTATTCTTCACAGATTATTGCTTTTTTTCTCTCTCTCTTTTCATGGTTTATAAAACCATGCTGCCAGATCCAAGTTGACACCCCTGGCAGCAGCCACAAGCAAGAACTTGATTTTCATTTAGTTCTTCACCAGAAAAAGAGACAGACCACTCAAGGTGAGAATAGAAGTGCAAAAGACCCAAGTAAAGCTACATAATAAAAGCTTTACACAATTTATACTCTACCAGCTTACAAAAGAAAGTCTTATGATCTGGAACTTACAGGCAGGAGAGCACAAAGCACTGCAACAAAGGAAATTGCTATTTGCAGCCTCAATCCTTTTTGGACCACATGCCCCCATTAAATGTCTTGTATGACTTCCCTTTTTGCTTACCTGAAGTCCTGATAATTTTGCTAATCTCCAGGAACTGAATGCAGTTAGCAGCCAACAAGGTCTCTGTTTCCATGCCCTGAAAAATCATGTCATTTTTAACAAGTCATATGTAAAAAGCAGCCCAGGGTGGTGAAAAGAACAATGTTGCTCGGTTTATTTGAGGTTGTTTGGCACTTTTTTTTTCTGATCTTTGCCATTAATTAGAAAGGCCCTGAAATTATAAGACAACTGGGGAAAAAAAATCTATAATATTTATTTTTTTTATTTGAGAACCAGAGGCCAGCTGAGTATCACTCATGTTTCTACAGTGAACCCATACTTACAGAGTAGGAATTTAGGTTCCATATGCTTGGCTAGTCTTTAGCCAAACTTGTACTTAGGACAGAACAATAGGAAGAAGATAAAAGAGAAAACTGAAAAGAATAAAGGTGACCATTCCCAAGATGGAAACAATCATGTTTCATCTTATCTAATGTAATTTTAAAATCTGCATAACAAAGGCTGTTCTGCTCAAAATCTTTTGCTCTTCAAGGAATTGCAAGGTTTCTTCTCATAATTCCTATGCTACAGCAGCTACTATAGAGAGACAATTCATATTTTGTTAAATATGAATTGATGGAGAAGCACATCTCTAGAGTCACAAAAAGCCCAGAAAGGTGCATGAAGGGCTCAATATCACAGCAACTCATCAGTCCCTAGCCAGCATAGGATTTCTTAGAGATCATACATACCCAAAAAAATGTTATAGCCATTTTATATAATTACTCTGAACTGAAGTTGGGACAGACTCTGAGGCTCTGTTGTTGGGTTTTTGGGATGGCAGCTTTGTTATTCCTATAAGCAAAAATCATGCACCAGTAAACAGACCCCCCAGATACAAAATAAAGAAAGAAATTATTTAACAATAGCAACACTGAAATAAAGTCTCAGAAAGTTTTTGAAGTTTATCTATGTTCATGTATCACACAGGAAAAAAAAAGCCAAAAAGACCCAACACCTGCTCTCTGTATATTAAAACAATGATGAAATAATCAGCAACATCTGGTAATGAAACTTAATAGTCTTTGCTGCACTAGTATGTTAATGGGAACAGCAATATTAATATTTGTGATGTTATTGTAACTCCAAATTTTGGACTTTATTCTTTTCCACAGAAGAGTTAGAGCCCAGGGCATGGACTCAAGGCTAGATGCAGTGTTCGAAACTTCTGTCAACTTCTTGTGTGACTTTGTGCATATTGATTTATTCTTCTAGTTTTTTTTTAATTTATCAGTTTTTATTCTTTCCTCTTGTCATTTATTGTTGTTTATAGATCACCTCATTGCTTATAGATCACCTCATTTCATAAAAACTGATTATCATTGCAACAGAAAGTTTCACAATGTTTCTAAAAATACTATCTTTCTTAAAGTCTAGGGAATGCTTCTTATTAGAAGACTACAGCATCTAAAACAGCCACACAAGGTCGCTTAAGGTATCTGCAAGTGTGCTGCAATCTGAAGAAACCAAGTGAATGCAACATTAATATCTACAAGAGAAACTCCAAGAAAAAATACCTTGATTGAAGGAAAAGGTATATTAGTCCAGGCTTATCACCATGTAAACACAGATCAGAGTTAGCCTGAAGTACAGACCATGGAGCATTCCTCTTGACATGCCCCAGGCTCTCATCTGTCCCTGATACTCACTTGTCCCATTTAGTCACACCTTGCTCTGAATAGGCTATAGCCTAAAGCCAGCAGAGTGGGATTTCTGCTGAGTTGTCCCAGTTTTCTATTAGATCATTGGCTCCTGGAGAGACTGGAATGTTAATGGTTAATAACTCAAAACATTTGTCCATTTGCTGGGCCAGGTTTGCACCACCCCACACAATTGAAAAGAAGGAGGAAAGTTTTGGGGTGAGTGGTGGTGAAACTTCTGATCCTCACAAGACAGAGGGCGTTCCCATGTAAACCTAAATTATCCTGACCCATTGAACTTTCTGTTTTGTGGGCTTTCCTCTACCCCCAATGCATCAAGTCTGTGATCATGGCCATTAGACAACTAAATGGCAATAATCAAATCTCCTTGCTGGTGGTGGTATCTTCCTATTCTTATCCTTTCTTTGTTTGTCTTTCTTTTCCCTTGCACATTTTCTTAAATGTTATTTTCATGCTTCTTTAGTGCTATATTTCTGTGGATAATTAATCTTAAACAAAACAGCTACACATTGGCTTTCCATTGCTACCAAATTGTTCTAAAATAAATCCTACATATCTATATATTAATAAACACTGATCATCCAGTGTTTATTATCACAGAATTACTTGGTTTGCAAGGCATCTCAAAGATAAAGATCCAATTGCCTTATCAGGAGCAGGGCCACCTTCCATTAGACCAGGTTGCTCAAAGCCTTATCCAACCTTGGCTGTTCCTTCTTGTCCTATCATTACATGTTCTTGTAAATTGTTCCTCTCCAGCTTTCTTGTAGGTTCCCTTCAGTACTGGGAGGCTGTAATTAGGTCACTTTGAAGCCTTCCATTCTCCAGGCTGAACATTTTCTTAGCTTTCCTAATAGGACAAGTGTTTCATACCCCTAATCACCTCGACAGCCCTTCAGCCATTATGAGCTATCTGCAGTATGGTTCACTTTCTGTGTATTCAGTCTTTCAGTGTTTTTTAAAATTCTGTTCCTCCTACTCCAAGCACAGAGGGTGAAGTCTCCAGGAGGTGACTGCTCATAATGTCATAAGGTGTTAGAATCAATTGTTAATAACTTCAATATTTTCTTTTCTATTATAAGAAAGGAAAAAAAAAAAAAAAAAAGAAACCTCACTTTTCCTAAAGAGGATTATTTATTTCAATGTATACATTTGATATTTTTTTAAATGAAAACTAGCATGACAGAAATTTTGCTTTCTGGCATGTGATAGAAATGGAATATTCCCAAATGTAGCCGATTTCTTTTCCCCTTGATCAATCCACCTTGAAAGATGTTCTACATTACTTACCATTGGCAATGAGTGCATGATGGCATAGAATATTGGCATGTTTGTCACAGATACTGCTCTGCACCATGGATCCATGCCCAGTTTTAAATTGTCTAGCATCCTGATTACAAGTGTACCAAGTACCCTGATCAAGGTGATTCTACTATGCAATTTAATCATTTAAAGCTGGGCTTGCTTCCATGGCTTCCATAGTCAGTTTCCGTAAGTCCTGTGACAGTGCCAGAAACATATGTCAGGGGATAAGGTCTAGATACAAAATCATTTTCTCAGGGACATTTCTTAAACCACTATTTCACATTTTATTGCTAATGCCACATACTAAGCCACAATTAACCCTGAAACCCCCTCTCCAAGTATGTACAGAAATTTATCTGTTCTCATTAATTCATTAAGCAGTAATGAATTAATTTATCTATGTTTCCCTCTGTTCTCACCAAGGTGATATATGAACAACTTTTCAGATGCCTAATTATCTTCTGATCCACTCTTTGCCAAACAAATAATGTTAAGAGCTCCACTTCTTACTTGCAAATATGGAGTCTCCCACTCTGTTCTCATGAACTCCTTTAAGACCCATTCCACAGCTCAAATCTGAAAGGGCAAAACCCAGCAGCACTATTTCACCAAGCGGTGTCTCAAAGGTTTGTTGGAGAAAACTATCCTTTGACTAAGGGATACTCCAGGGATAAAAGAGAAGAAAAGTTGTAGCAGCATGCCATGAAAAAAGACATTTTCTCCTTTTCAGTACAGGATAATTTGTCAACCTTCTCTCACGTTAAGATAAGGGTTAGAAAATGCCAATAGTATCAGCATAGGTTTTGTATAGCAAGATAATAAAATTCCTACCTGGATCCTCATCCAGTGCTAATGTGCATGGTTTATCAGTACAGATGCTCTAGAAGTGCATCAACAGCCTTACAGAGGTCTTCAAGATCACTGCATGTCCTCCTCTGACTGCTGAGTCTGCAGTATGTTTCTGTGTGAAATCTCACTCCAAACTGCATATCTGTGAGGGTCAGGTGAACCAGTTGATCTGCAGGCATTTGCCCACCCACATCAAAACATCTGTAGTGTTTGAACAGAAATGACTGGGAACCACAGCAATACAGGGTAAGGATTGACATGTGTTCAAGTCCACTCTGAATGAGAAGCTAAAAGCAGTTTCTGATCTACTTGTGCACATTCATTTGTACCTTTAGCTGTGATAGGATAGCCCTGAGTGGAACACTTATGGCAAGCAATGCACTATCAATATACAACACATGTACTGAGGCCAATCTATACCTGAAAGGAGCATGACAACTTTTCTGCAGTTGGTGCAGCTGTGTCTTTGCAGCGGTGATGGATTCAAAAGAAAAAAAGTCTGTAGTAATTCCAGACCTATTGCTGCTGTGCATGGAGCTCAGACATTTCCAGGACCATCACTTAATACTGCCCAGCAGCTGTTGCCTTAGTTCCTCACATCCTCTTGCTTTCTGTGCATTTTATCCCCCTGAGCAGACAAGAAGCAGAAGCAGGTGCACCACTGTCAGTTCTGGTGCCAGCACCCAAAGCAGAAGATTCCAACAGGGTGTATTTGCTGTTCTCTTTCCTCAGGCAGGGCGATGGGGTCACGGCCTCCTGCACCAATGCCATGGCACTGCTCTAACTGCTGGGGGAAAACAGAGGGTTGGAAGAGGAATCTTGTTTTTTAGTTCCATTTCTCCTTCTGCGTCGTGTGATAAAATGAAGTGCGACACTGCAATGTCAGCTTCCTGCATATAATCTGGATGCTGATTTTTAAAGTAACATTTTTAAAGTAGAAGAAACCATGAAAATTGCCCACAGCTCTGAGATTTCATTCAGAAAAGCCAAGGCTTTTGTTTTCTCTAGGCAGCTGACTCATAGACTTTTGCCCTACTCTGCATTTTAGAGCAAACTGCTAGGTTTAGGAATTCCTCATCTCTTCTTGCAGTTGCCCTTCCTCTTGCAGTATATCTTTCCTGTGCAATGACAATTTTTAATCCATCAACTATAGTCCTAGAAAAAGAGAAACCGTTTCCTTAGCATTTCCTGCAGGTAAAAGCAGTCAGAAAGAAGCTGTAAA